TGTCCCCAATGCCAGCACGACCAGATGCCCGCCACTGCCTCGGGGGCTAATCCCCGGGGCTTGGCGAGCTGTGAGGTGTGGCAAATGGACGTAACACACATCCCTTCTTTTGGTCGATTGTGTTACGTCCATGTCTCAGTGGACACCTTCTCCGGAGCTATCTACGCCTCTGCCCACACAGGGGAGAAGGCCACGGATGTCAGAAGCATCTGCTTCTGGCATTCGCTGTCTTGGGCATCCCTAGGGCCATCAAAACTGACAACGGCCCAGCGTACACGTCCAAGGAGCTGCGGAGCTTCCTGCAGCAATGGGGAATAGAACATAAGACCGGCATCCCCTATTCCCCGACAGGCTAAGCCATGGTGGAGAGGGCCCACCAGAGCCTGAAGAAGACCTTAGCTCGGCAGCAAGCGGCTGTGAAGGTGGAGACACCCCACGTCCGGTTGTCAAGAGCCCTTTACACCCTCAATTTCCTCAATTGCTCTTTTGACAGCCCCAACCCTCTAGTAGTCCGGCACTTTGGCAGCCACCAGCAGCTGCAGCCTAAAGCCAGGCTGCCGGTCCTTATCAAGGATCCAGAGACCTGGCGGACGGAGGGGCCATTTGACCTGGTGACCTGGGGGAGAGGATACGCTTGCGTGTCCACTCCCTCAGGCCCCCGCTGGATACCATCTAAATGGGTCAGGCCCTTCGTCCCGAAGCAGAGGACGCAGAAAGGGGCTGTGCCACAGGTCCAAGTAGCGTGTTGGCGGCGGCAGAGGAAACCCTCCACTATAACGTCTTCCTTTTCCTCCGAACTTTCTCCCATTCCCGAAGCAGAGCCCTCTTCTCCCTCTTATCCTTCTCCTTCCGACTTTCCATTGGTGTATGAGTCTCGACCCTCGTCTCCTGTTTCCTCCCCATCTTCTTCAGATTTAAATTTGTTGTTTGGGGCAGAACCATATGAGTGACTTCCTTATACTTCCACCATTTCTCTTTTGTTTCGGTACATCTCCCGATTGCTCCCGCATCGTCACCCAGGCATTCTACTGCTACTGCTGGCGACCTATGGACTCCTGCTGCCATCTTCGGAGCCGTGGGTCATCCTCCAGCTGAAGGTCAACGTCTGGCATGCCTTGGCTCAGTCTTTAGGACAGGACCACATTTGCCTCGACACCGGCGCAGCAGAGGACCCGATGTCGTCTTGTGTTGTGGGGATCCCTTTTGCTCCAGGCGAGTTTCCCCTGCCTTTCAGTCATCCTCTGCCCCTATTTTGGCCCAGAGCCTTACTATCCTCCCCAGTGTTGATTCTAGTAACGCCTGGAGTGACGGAGTGTTTAGGCTGGATCCTTTAGCCTCCGAGCCCACAGAATTACATCTTCTCAGTTCTGCCAACTCCTCCATCTGTTTTCAGTTCGATTACACTTATGCTCCTATAGAGAGGGGCAGTGAGGTGGTCCAGCAAACTAAAAAAGAATATCAAGTAAATCAGTGGTGCACGGCCATATTAAAGATCAGCGGCCCCACCACCACTGGATAGATCCCTTATGCCCTTCCCAGGGGAGCGTTTTTGATTTGTGGCGACCGAGCGTGGGCAGGCATCCCCTCTGGTCTGATTGGAGGGCCGTGCACTTTTGGCAGGCTGACGCTGTTTACCCCCAACATCACCCAAATTGTTAACTGGAGAAAGACAAACATCACGTCCGAATTGGCCAGGTCTAAAAGAGATCTTAAGGATCTCACGGAGAACTGTGATGACGAAATTACCCATTGGTCTCACTTAAAATCCGTCATTTTTACCATCTTATTGCCGTGGGTATCAGTGGCGAAATCTCTGGGTGAATTGGGGCGCCTGGAGTGTTGGGTGGCTAAACAAGCCAATCTTACCTCAGCTGCTCTATACGACCTCCTCACAGACGAGGAAATAACAAGGAAGGCGACGCTCCAAAACAGGGCAGCAATAGATTTTCTATTGCTGCTTCACCACCACCACTGCGAGGAGTTTGAGGGCCTCTGCTGCATGAATCTGTCCTAACGAGCCGAGGACGCCAGACACTCCGTGAAACGCCTTCAAGACCTTCTACATCAAGTAAAACAAGAAACATCTGACTGGCTGGGGGACATTTTTAAGGGTTGGGGCCTTAGTGGATGGGCCAGCTCAGTTTAAGTCAGTTAGTAAGGTTGTTTTAGGTTTGATTATACTTTTGATTCTCATTACTGTGATCCACGGACTGGTCAAAAGACTGATGGCAAGAGTAGCAGCGCCAAGTGTGAACCATGCCACCGTTCCCCTTAATGAGCCCATCGAGTTGGAGGACCTCTCCTCGGAGGCTGGAGAAGCTGTGGATGAGGAGGGGGCAACCGCGCTGCCCTTCGACCACCTATGGGCGGACGGACTCCGAATTGATGAGGACGAGATTTGGCCAGACCAGCCGCGGGTCCCTGCGTTTTAAGTTTTATATGGACTTTTCCGCTCTTTCTAATTTATTTGGTAAAAAACGGGGAGATGTTGTAGTGTGTTTGTTAAGTTTACTGTATTACTCCCCCATTTTTGTATTGTTCCCCCCGTTTTATGTAAATGGTTCTGCCCTTCCCAGTTTTCCCGCCACTTGTACTGTCAGTCCTTTAAGTTATATAATTCCTCCTCCCCCTTATCTCCTTATATGTAAACTTTTTCCCCTCCCTGGGCCCAGTCAATCACCCCCCACCCCTCCCAGGTTTCCAGAATCTTCTTCTCTCTGGGGGTTATGGTTGGCTGTGGTCCCGGGGCCCTCCCTTACTTTAGGTTTATTGGTTCTCTTATGCTGTTTGTCATGTTTAGTTCACTCCCTTCCCTTCCAGGACTGGTTCTTTGTAAACCCTTCCCCTTGAATCCTTCCCCCTTTATAAGCTTGTTTCACCCTCCCCTTGGGGCCACTCCCCGGTTGGTTGCTCCTTGGTTGGTTTCTCAGGACCATCAATAAACTGACTTCACCCCCGGAGAGTGTCCTGCTCCTTTTCTCGTCAGATCATCAGATCATCAGTGAGAGCCTGTCCGCAGCCAGCACAGCCCAAGGCCATCTGACGCCGAGGGGTGTTGGCAGGGAATGCAGCTGGGTGTCGGCCTTTACCCTCAGCTAGCCAGACAGTGACCTCTTGGGCCATGTACGCCTCACTGCATTAACTGAGTCCTGCTTACCACAGACTAAATATGGCAATTCTAGAGAACATGCAGGCAAACAATTCCACTGGTTCTAAAGAGAAGTGTCCATAAAGTCATTTCTCACAGTTTACTTCATTCAAAATTACAGGATTGCTCTTAATGTAGTTTTGCATGGAATTAACATCAATTAGCTGATGCCCAGCTACAAAAGGAAAATTTCATAAGCAAATCTTTACAGTGTGCTTAGGAAGTTATCAAAAAGGCACTATGTAACTAGAGATAGGGAGAGAAGAGGAAGAGAAGCAAAAGGGAAAAGGAGAAAGGGAAGGAGGAAAGGAACCTCACAGTGATACAAACTGAACAATTGGAACCGTTTGTGTATGCACAGAGTAACCAAGTGTAACTGAAGCTGTCAGGTAAACAAAAAGTAGGTTTACATCACTGCACTACTCGTGCAGCACATGCATTACTATGGGTTAGCTATAGCACAAGTACTCTGTTCAAATGAGAAATGCAGTTTTTATACTTTTGCCTCTATTCTTAGAAATAATGACAGAATAGACTATCTTGGAAATGCTTCTGCAATCACTGGAAGGTCAAACAAGTATGAAGTTGGGATGAGACAAAAAAAAAAGAAGCAGGTATCACCAAACAGGCATCTAAATTAGAAAAGTAGTATTTAAAAGCTGGTGATTTCTGTGACAGCTTCTTAAAGACGCACCTGTGGAGCTTTTTGTGCAGCTTTAAAAGTGATCATCACTGTATGGGGAAGCATGTGCAACCTACCGTCCGCCAGAGACGTACAGCTATGCTTCCTAAGGTGCACAGGAATCTCATGCAGTTGCATATTATTACTTTATTATGAAACATGATAATACACACATAACTTAAATATTTTTCGTATTGAAATAAATGCATGCAAAAAGGCAACAGTGAAAAATTTCCAGTTTAGCCCTTCTTGAATGTTTGGTTTTGTGATGCTGTTCCTGAAATTATATACTGCATCTAGAACTGAAAATCTACAAAAAATTTAAAAAGGTTACTACAGAAAAGTATACACATTATGCAACATTTTCATTTCCTAATATCTGTGCACTTTACTTGACTACCTTTACTCTCTGATTTAGATAGAAGAACACAACGAAAGAAATATGTACTCACTCTGCCTTTTGTTCTCTCACTGGGAAAACGAAATATTCTGCTTTTAACAATAATGTATTCTGCACAGCTATAAAGACTAAGGCATAGTTTGTAGAGAAGACATAACAAACTTAGAAACAATAAGGAGGCATTGTCCAGAATCCATTTTTACATCTGAAGATGTGTACATTTTTAGTTAATTTCTCTTCTTTTCCCCAGTTTCCTCCTAATAAAATTAGTATTTTGAAACACATAAATATTTAAACTTACATAAACAAAACATCTCCTGTACTAAAGTATTCCAAATAGAAGTTTCTTCTAAATTATAAGTGCTAAAGATCACTGTTAATTCTAACACTGAAATATGAAAAAATCTGATAATGACCAAGTAGCAGCATAAAATCTTGCCTCCCCTCCCCAGTTTTTAATTTCTACTTGTCTTGCTTAAATTAAGCAGAGAAAGGGGGTGGGATAGAGTGATATTAATTTTCAAATGCAGAATTTGTGGTTTTCCATGGTCATATCCCTGTCAGTTATTTAACATTACATCAGCCAAATAAAAAGTTCACATCATCTCTGAAATACCATATCCAACAGTATATATGAAAATTACTTCTCTTTCAACTGTTGACTACATTAGTTTTGAAGCATTTTCTTCTCCACACATTCAGAGCAGTCTAGCTTCTTGTTCTCAGTTGCAAAAATGAAAACAAGAAACAGGATTATTTTAGACTCTAACCTGAAATGCTGCAGCCTCTGGCCTGCCCTTCAGCCCTTCCTCTGAAAAGGTCTCCAGGTGCAGTTTGGGTAGCTCCAGGGTGAAGTCATTCGTGGCTGCTGCAGTACACAGCAGCAAGGCCTGATCTCTGACCTAAAGGGAAAAAAACAGCATCAATGGTAATTCCCCTTCAGACACATTAACTGGGATGAACTGGGTCCCCTTGAGCCCACTGAGTGGACTTGCATTGATCGCTGGACCTGAAATCCATGAATAAATTTAGGACTAATTGATTTTTCGTTGCAAATAAATCTCTAATTCAGAGTGCTGGGAGAGAATGTTAAGAAGAAAAAGCATCTTCCCCTCGTCTGAAATGAGAAGAAAAGACACCAAGGGCTCTGTAGCCCAGCTGGCGTATACATTTCACAGATCTGTCGCCTGCAAAAACCTCGTAAGAAAAGAAACAGCAATTGTACTGTTGTACTGTAATTGTACTTCTAACTTGAGCAAATATGAGCTGTGAAATTAAAAAGTTCATGTGATCACATCAATGAGAAGCTGGCATGTGAGTTCTGTCTACTCTGGTATCAATCCTCCAGAATAAGGTTCATTTGGAAACAACTCAGTCAAAAGTCAAAATTAAATGAATAATCCACAAATAAAGCAAAACGAACTAACCTGCAGCTTTTCAATTAATAAGGGGGGGAGGGGGTGGGGAGCGGGAGGAAGAAAGAACCGCTGCTTTTTGCGGGCTGGGTGCGGGAGGCACTCGGGCCCTGCGCGGGCTCCATGCCTTTGGCGCGGTTCCCCGGCTCGGCACAAAGCGCAGGCTGCCCCTGGCCGCGCGCGCCGTTGGTGTCGCAGTGCCACCTGCCGGCCGCGCGCGGCAGCGCCGCCCGCGCTTTTGTCCTCGGGCCCGGCGCGGCGGGAATGCCGGAGCGCTCCGGGCAGGGAGCGCCGAGCTGCCCTGCCCATCGCGACATGTCCGTGCGTCCGTCCGCCAGCGCGGACCCGCCGCCGCGCGGATCGAACGCGCGCCTTCCGCAGCCACACCACTTATGCTCACACGCCATATGATGCCACACACCCAATTTTCATTCTATTTAGTACAAAATTTACAATGTCCGCCTCCTGGAGATCCCAGTAGTCAGATTATAGTCTAATACAGACGGATAGACACATATACAAATATATGTTAGTACAAACGAAAAGATTAAATCAATTCATTTGGCATACACTGCATCTGTTGAGTAGCAATAGTGAGTACTGCAAAAAAAAATTACTGTTCTAATGATCTAATACACAGTCTAATACTAAAACATACACTAAATATATTCTAAAACATATACTGGATATATTCTAAATACATATAAATCAACAGATATACCATTTACTAAGTACTATTTTAATAAATGTCAGGGTTTTTTAGAGGCTGCCTTGCCCACAAGAATGCACTGAACATGAATTAAAACATAAATCTATTCATTTAAATCCCAGATTACTTTTCTGTAACCACTTACAAAATTAGATTCTTGTAAAATCTTGATTATGAGTGAACAGATTTCAAATAATAGCAGAGCCTTTGAAATCTGCTCTGATTGAAAGAAGCATGTGTAAATCTACTGATACAAAGAAGAGGAGATTTTATTTTATTCGTTCCTCTGTTCTGTGGGAATAGGGAGCCCTACATTTCCCAAGTTGACCTAAAGAATTCCTGTCAATACCTGTGGCTGCCAAACATATGCACTATGATGCAATTTTTATAACAGGAAAGGTCCTCTACACATTTTTTGCACACATAGTGCACTAGGTTCAGGATACACAGTCCTGTGGAACAAACACACTCTCTAGAGTGTTCTGTCAGCATGTGTAATTCTGGTCAGATGTTAACCTTGCTGAAGATAACAAAATACATTGCTTTAAATACACACACATGCACACACGCACACCACACACACACACACACCTGATTTACATTTTTATAGCTTATATACACAGCAACTTTTCGGTGTCTTTGCTGGCAGTATGCACACAGATAAAAGAAAACATTAATGTGGATTAAGGTACTAAGAATTTATCAACATCAAACCACCAGTGTTTTGCCTTCTACCCTTCTGAACCGTAGTCAATAGATCTAAATATTTTACTGCACCCTGGCCAATTCATTGTTTGATGTTTAAAAACTCAAACAGAATCAAAGAAAATTTATTAAATTTCAGCCCCCAAATGAGATACTATTAGCTTTGAAAGTCAAGTTTAACTGCGATATTGATGATTCTCTTTTTTCTGTGACAAAATTCACAAGGGAAATCCCTATGTCAAAGTACAAAAGCAGATTGCTAATACTAGGGGGAAAAAAACAATGTATAAGCAATGTAGGTATAATATATACACAATACAGACAGTAGAAGTCCTTTTAACCCTATTAGTTTCAAACTCTCTATTTCAGTATTGGGGTCTGACACTCACTGAATAATAAAATATAAACCCCATTTTTAAAACGGCTGCATTGTGGTGTACAAATGCCATTAATACCACTGCATCAGAAAAGTATGCTTCTTAAAGAGAAGAAAATATCAAAAAAAAATTGATATGAGGATTCACAATTAAAAAACAAACCAAATACTTTTTTGTGTTTGTAAATATTTAGATTGCAGAGAGTACATCTCATTATCAGTATGCATACCGAGAAACTGAAAATTAATACAAACTTTTTCTTTTGCAAAATCCTCATGAGGATCAGGAAAATTGTAAGAACAAAAGACTGGGTGTATGCTGTACAAATATACTATACTGTTTCACTAGAAGTGAAAACATTCCAAGCTGCCTACCTATTACCTACTGGAAAGCGATAATGGTCATGCCTGCATGGACTCATGTTGGAGAGACCAGATCTGTATGAAATCTTAGTAAAAAACTAATTTAATAACTTCTGTCTATTGGCTTTTTGAGATCCAGAAAGAAACAACAGGAATTGGTAAATTGTATTTATTTCCTCATTTTCTAATGCAGTAAAAACAGTACTCACATATAAACTTACATTACAGAACCATGAGACAAAGATAAAATGGGTAATTTAATTTCTTTTTTAAAAGAGGGTACTTTTGGAAGCTCAACAGGCAAAAGAACCATCCTATGCAGCTAATTTAAAATGCAATTTTTAGAGCTTTTTTGTATTTAATGACATTTTTTTTTCTTACATATGATCTCTAAAGCAAGACCATTTTGTCCGAAAGGTCTCCTGAGGCTAGAGAGCTTTATGTTAAAATCTAAAACATCTAATCAGCTAATCAGGCTTATTGCAGTGATGAAAAATGTCTAAAATCAGTTTCATTTCTCTATATTCTAAAATTATATAAATTTATATTTAGCCATTGTTAGTGAAGGTTTTGGACATTTCTGATTTTCGTAAACATAATTTTATCTGAGATTGGGAAAAGTTTCAAGAGTGATTTTATACAGAGTATAGTTACGTATCATGACAGCATGCTTCTAAATATGATCATTACATTTTTCAGTTTAGACACATATAAATACTATATGAAAACAGGCAAAATCACAAATCCACCCTCTACTGCAATACTCATAGCATTTTAAAATAAAGAAGAAGAGTGACTTATGACAGTGTTTAACTTTTTAATTAATTAGGAGAGCAACAAAGAAGACAACACTATAGCCACTCAATTTAAAATCAATAAAGTACTCATTAATTCAGATCAAAGCTGAAACTGAATAATAAACTGAAGTTACCTTATTGACTGAGCCAAGGTGTAGAATTTGATGGGCTAATTCTACATGTCCAAAAATGAACTTTAAAACTTTCTGCTGCTCAAGATAATAGTAGTTTTGTCTGCAGTCCACTCTGGTGCTTACATTGGTTTTTCTGTGCACATTTTGATGTGGTATATCCAGTTATGCCAATAGAGACATGATACTAAATGCTGGGAAGTTGTAAATGGTATTAGAATGTGCTCAGCCTTCCTAATGTTTTTTCCCAGTTGCTATCTGACTGGTACAACAAACCTGAGATTTTAGTTTTTATTTTGTTCCTAATTCAATGCTTTCTTATGGTGAAAATAAAATAAAATAATTTATAGATATAAACTTCACAATGTAAGCTATATATGAGAATATTTTATAAGTTCAAAGTTCACTAATTCTACATTATAAATACTTATTTTTATGCTTATTTTTCTTTTCTACTACTTTTTAAATAGCATATTATCTGCAATTTAAAGAGCAGAACAAGATCTACTGTGATTTGGTGATAAGCGAATGGAAAATAGTGATTTAATCTGTTTGTCTAAGATCACCATATTGCTGATACAACTGCAAATACAGAAATCATTCTAAGAGAACAAGCAAAATGGTTTCTACCACACTGCTATGTGTTCTGCATGTGACATACAACAGATAAAAATTAGTTTGGAACTTTTTAAGTAGAACAAAGCAGTTTGAATGCAAATCTTAGTCCTAACCACAGTCTTGCAAGTCTGTGGCTGATTTAGCTGCATAGTGTCCGTATTTCCAGGGCAGCATGTTGAGTGGGGGCCATATTACACAGGTTTAAAACATGCACACGTACCCACAGTCCTTTGCCAAGGGAAGCATTTTAACAGAAATAAGTTACAACTGCTTTGAATGGGCAAGTCTTTGTTACAGTGTTATACAAATGATTATAGGACTAAGAAGAATAATATTTTATACATTGTTGGATAGAATTAAACCTTCACGAACACTTCTTATTTTTTTTCACATTTAATATGAATTGCTAAAGTTTTCTGACTCCATATTAAAAATACAAATTAATGTACAGGAAGAAGTTCCCCCAACAATAATACTGAATAGTCTTGATAACAGTAGTTCTTCAAGTAAGTTACTGATACAGATTATTTTCCTCAGGATACATTTTAATACTTGGGGCTCTCTAGAAAACCTAAAAAAGTGATCAATCTAAGTGTGATCCATTTAATGGAATACAGACCCCAAATTATTTGCTGCAGGATTTTGCACAAGTAATATCCAAAGAAGTACCTCCCACAGCACCCTGTCAGATCGTAAAGTAAATCTGTTAATATTGGTTGCTGTTAATACCAGTCTGAGCCTGCTCTGAAAGTAAGGAAATTACTACAAAAAGTGTATATTCATCTTAT